GCAAAAATGGCTTGCACAAGCACCCAAAAAACGGCGAACATTTCTCAATCAATCAATTTTAATTAATTGACCAGCAATGGCAAAAGTGTCATCAGCAAAGAAGAAAAGCTNGGCTTTGGTAAGGCAAAAATGGCTTGCACAAGCACCCAAAAAACGGCGAACATTTCTCAATCAATCAATTTTAATTAATTGACCAGCAATGGCAAAAGTGTCATCAGCAAAGAAGAAAAGCTCACATTTGAAGCCCAACAAAACCCAAACCAGATCAAAATCAGAAAAAAGCAAAACAAAATAACAATACTTTCAATAGCTACCACTAGGTGGCGACAGCGCTTCAGCAAACACAAAAATATCCTTTCACCCAAATCTAAAATAGAATCTCCCCTTATAAGTGGGCGAAAAATATATCTTTTCTACCACACTCAAAGTTTAGAGTACTCTCATCAGTATCAGCTGCTGATGCAGCTAATGATGATGATGACTGCTGATGATGCTATTTTTGGAGAGATAGAACTGATCATTGCAGCTGCTGCTGCTACAAGATGCTTAAGAAGATCCTCCCGTCAAGTGTCCTCAGCGAACACTTCCCATATGGTCTAGCGGTTAGGATATTCGCCTCTCACGTGAATGGCCGGGGTTCGACTCCCCGTGTGGGAATTTCCCCTTTTTTGGATGTTTTGATTAATTTTTCACTTTATTAAACAAGTTCAGTCTCGCTCATTTCCAGCGACCACAAAGTCTCTCACTTTCTTCTTCAGTTGGAGTTGGCATCGACCACGCCCCAGATCCAGTTGCTGAACTCGCTGATGCGCCCGGTCACCGAGGGGTAGGTGGGGCCGGCGCACTGGACGCCGAAGCTGGTGGCGCCGTAGTTGTACCAGAGGTTGCCGATGCGGCAGTTCAGTGGGCCGCCAGAGTCACCTAAAATTGAGCATAATAAAAAGCAGAGATTTAGGTAATGAACTTCTCAGGAAAAAGGGGAGTTTATGCTTACCCTGGCAGGTGCCCTTCTTGTTCTCTCCAAAACAGAGCATGTTCGAGGTGATGGGGTGGACGGCGGCGTAGCGGCTNGATAAGAAAAAGCAGAGATTTAGGTAATGAACTTCTCAGGAAAAAGGGGAGTTTATGCTTACCCTGGCAGGTGCCCTTCTTGTTCTCGCCAAAGCAGAGCATGTTCGAGGTGATGGGGTGGACGGCGGCGTAGCGGCTGGTGCACTCCGCCTGCTTCCACACCTTGACGCCCACCTTCTGGAGGATGTTCGGGCTGGTGCCTTGCCAGGCGGTGTTGCCCCACCCGGTGGCAATGCAGTCGATGTTGGCGGAGGGCAGTCGGTCGAGGTCCTCGGCGTCCGGGAGGCAGGCGGTGCCCAGGTGGGCCTCCGCTCCGCTGAAGTCCAACTTGCGGCTCAGCTTGAGGAGGGCGGCGTCGCCGTCGATCTTTGCCGAGTTCCACTTGGGCGAGACGAAGATCTTCTCTACGGTGACCTCCACCTCGGTGCCGTCGTTCTTGGAGCGGTCGTGTTCGCCTGAAATAAAAAGAAATTTTTGATTAGTTTTACCAAAACCCAAAAAAA